GTGAAGGTTTAGTCTTCGAATGATGCCCTTCCCAATTGTTTCACTGATCAGCTTATCCCTATTTCTTCGTTTCCCTTTCTCCATCCTTCCTAATCGATTTTGATTTTGTGTTTTTGGTTGATTTGGTTTCGACGGATTCTTCTAGAAACACACACTTGTATTAGTTCAACCCATAAGCAGATATGAATTTTTACCAAATCTGGAAAAATCACCACCATGGATTTCCCTCTCATGTTAAATAACTATGATGGTTCATCACATGATATCGGGAATAAATTACGGCTTGGTACATACGAAATCTCGAAACTCGATTTCCTGTCAAGCAATTTGGCAAATCAAATAAAGATATGGTCAGTTGGGTATATTCTTTTGTTGAAGCTCTATGAGGAGAGCAACCCCAACATATACGACATTGACAAATCTGGAAAAATCACCACCATGGATGTCCCGATCGATTTTGTTTCGATGGATTCTTCGTAGGGTGGGTAATATATGGAGAATATGGTGGCCATGGTCGAATATTGTTGCAGATTTTTTAAGGGTTAGAGATGATAATGATGATGACATAGTTGGTGAAGGTGGCGGTGATGAGGTTTTCGTTGGCGTAGGGATCGAGTGAGAAAGAAGGAGACGAAGGCAGAAGAAATTATATGTTTTATTCGACCTTCAGATCGAGGAAGAAATGGAAGGGGGAAGAGTGGGGGTATTTTTTTTTTTGTTTATTCTTATTTTCTAATAAAAAATTATATATAAATAAAAGAAAATGAAAAAAAAAGAAATTATTAAGGGCAAAATAGTCATTTTAGGTCAATAGGGATGAAGCGTGAAAGTCTAAAAGAAACGACGGACGGTCCAAATTAATTTTTGAAAATAGGAACTAAACACGTTTTCTGGTATATACACGAGCGACGATCGATGTAATTTACCTAAAAGAATATTAACCTTTTAAGTCATTTTTTTCATTTTCAAATTTAAAAATTAAATAACGTATGACATAACCTAATTAACTAAAATTTGGACCTAAACTATTAAGATATCAACTTTGTAGGATTAAAGCAAACACCATAATTAAAATTGCTAATTGGGTGTCATATTGGAACTAAATTTGAAATTTGAATGTTGCATCGTATATATCCTATATATAATTGATTTTAAAAAGATGATTTAACTATTTTGAGTTTTGGATAAAAAATTACTATTCATACATGATATTTATTTGGATGCTAGTTTATATTTAATTTTATATAATTTAATTAGATTTAAAGCTTTTATATATATATATATATATATATATATATATATATATATATATATATATATATATATATATATATATATATATATATATATATATATATGGTTTGTCAATATACCTTGCAATTTTACTCTTACACAACATCGAAATTTACATGACTATAATTTAGACAACAATTAAGGGAATAAACAATAATACTCCTAAATGCCCTTAAGACACCGAAGAATATTCACAACATAGATACAATAAATATACAAAGATCAATATATATAATTTGGACAAAACTATAAAAAATAGTTTATGTGGTATGTATCTTTTTGAGTTTTGGTCTAATATATATCAGTGTTGTAAAACTCGCCGAGTTGGCCGATTACTCCTCCGAGTACTCGCTACTCGGCCCCTTACCGAGGCGAGTTACAAAATCCCGAGTACTCCCCAATCGACCTATTTACTAAATTGAGTAGTTTTGTAAAACATGGTCAACTCGATGATTAATATGTATAATATATTTAATGATTTATTATTTAACACATACATATGATTATTACTACATATATATCTTAAATTTTCAGTAATTATTCGCGAAGTAAGACCATTATGTGATTTTTCAGCTTTTGTGTATTCACATGTATCTAATTTTGTTATATATTTCAATCAACTTATGATTTTAACTTATGATTTTGACATATATAATTTCCCTAAAAATATTTCTACATGAATTACCGAATCCGAGTACTCCCCGAGTACTCCCGAGTACTCCCGGGTACTCGCTACTCGGTAGTCGGCCGAACAGGTACCGAGTAACGAGTTCTGCAACCTTGATATATATATATATATATATATATATATATATATATATATATATAGGGCTTAGGGAATATGTAACTGTCATGTACCTAAGCTTACATATAGAACCCTTCAAAAAATGTGATTTTGATTCATTTATATCCATACTAATCATTATATCTTTTTTATCATTCTTCCTTAATCATTTGACTTACTAAGTCAATCAAATTTATGTTCTTTTTCTTCATTTTATTTAAAAACTTAAAGCATTAAAAGTCGTGATAATTTAATCAACTCTACTAAATCCTAAATAAAAACTAATAAAGTAAAAGATAAAAGAAGAACATATCATAACTCAATCAACATTTTCACAAAATCATTGGATATAATTTTTCAATTGAAAGATAAAACATTTGAGTTGTATTCGTTAAAAAATATTGGTTTTTTATTTTCATTATAAAATTCAATAATTATTTGCAATAAAAATATATATAATTGATCTTTTTTATTCAATAATTGAACTTAATTCAATGGTATTCTATAAAAACAAAACTAAGAGAAAATGAAATTGAAATTTGTTTTGTTTAAAACTACATCGTTTAAAAAGTTGTATACCTAAGCTCAGGTACATAACAGCCACATATTCACTTTTCCCATATATATATATATATATATATATATATATATATTATATATATATATATATATGGATTGGTTGTTATTTTTAACAAGTTTGTTTGTCATTTTGGTCCCTCTTAAAACTAAAATGGCTATTATACCCTTAGTATTTTTTTATTTCTATTTTCTTATTATATAATAAAGTAAAGGACCTATTTATCCTCTCTCTTCCCCCTCCCATTCTCTCTCTCTTGATCACACATAATTGTTTGTTGTTGTTCTTGAAAATAAAAAATCTAGTTCTTCAACACATACACACACATAAAATTTGGAAAACGATTCACATGGGTTCATGTTTTTGGGTAGGATCTATTTTTTTTTTTTTTTTTTGGAAATCGATTTACATGTTCAGATGGGAACCTAGATGAAGATGAAGCTATAGGAATGTTGTTCATACTCCAGTTTGTTATTCAATAGATACACACATATATAAAATTCGAATCACACACTATGTTTTCTGGGTTTGCACTTTAACACACATACACACACACGAACAATCTATTTTTTGGGTTTGCTCTTCAGGAACAACATAAGAAATCGATTGAGAAGTTGAAGACGTATGTTCAGATAAAAGCGATTTCGAATTTGTCAAGATTCGACAACCATTGATCCCTCAAGATTCATACCTAATAACCCAAAGGCAATATGAAAACAATTTCGAATCTGAAATCGATGTTACAGTGAGTTATTTCACCTATCTTCTTCGTCCATAATTTTTTCCCCGTTTAAGAAACCAATTAGATGTCAATTGCCTCACAAAAGAAGCACATGAAGATGTAGAGAGACAATGGCTTGGATGTGGGTCAAAATCAATTTATTCTAGATTTATGGGTCAACATTGATTTTGTTCAAGATTCTCGAACACATACACGTTGAAGAAATCGATTTAGGGTTCCAGATTAATAGGAAAGAATCGACTTTGTTCCTTATTCTTGAACAAGATATCACCTGCAGAACCTAACGAAAAAGCTTACCAGATAACACAGATCAAGAGACACAGAGAATCAGAGCCGATGACACATTTTAATGAAATTCTTAAACTGATCTAGGATGATATAAAGGAGAGGGTGAGTTATGGGAAAAAGATTGGAGTCGATGGTAGTGATGGGTCTATTCCTCCATATGAGTTTGTGTCTGGAAAGAACCGAATACATAAGTTTAGCTGATGATTTCATACGAGAGAGAGAGAGAGAGAGAGAGAGAGAGAAAGAGAAAGAGAGAGCTCTTTTTTATTATTAAAATATAAACATAAATAGTAAAAAATGTAAAAATAAAAATAAAGGAGTATAATATGTGATTTTAATTTTCAGAGGGGCCAAAACAATATACAAATATGATCAAAAGGAGCACCAATCTAAAAAAATTGGGATTTGGATGAAAAAAAAAACACATACCATAAAGACCATTTTTTGCAATTTTGTTTATAAGTTATCATCATCGTTAATATAAAACTAGTTGTGAGACCTATATATTACATGAGTTAATTTAAAAAAAAAAAATTAAATATAAATGTCAAATATTTAAAAACTTTGAATTTAAAAGAAAATAAGAAAAATAATGAATTATTATAATGGAAATGTTTTTTATCTTTTAAATTTAAACAAATAATTTAAATAAATAAAAGAAACTAATGACTTTAATTTTGGAAAATTTGAAATTAAAAGGTAAATTAGTTAATGAAATTAATATCAATTTATTATTATATTTATTATACTTATTTTATTAAAATAAAATTTTATAAAATAGAAAAACTCATAAAATAACATATAAAAAAATTAATTCAAAATAACTTTATGATATTTGATAAATTAAATAAGAACGTAAAAAAAAAAAAAAAAATGGTTCTTGTGGTATGTCAAAACTAGCAACTTTGGTCCAAAATGGGTTTGGCTTGCAAGGATGGTCCAATAGTTTCGTTTTGTTGCGATTTTAGTCAAAAAATTTTAAAACATTTTATAATGACGGATTTGCCCTTGGTATTTTCCCTTTTTATTTTTTTTATTACATAAATCAAAAAAGGAAAAAGAAAAAAAAAGAAAATCTCTCTCTCTCTCTCTCTCTCTCTCTCTCTCTCTCTCCCCTAGAACATTACCCAAGAACATTACAATGGAAAATGCCCTAAAAATCCGAATTGTTAAAAGATAATAATGCAGAAATTTTATTTGCATTCTTGAATCGATCTAGATGGATAAAAGGGAAAGGGCTTTTTGTGCCCGTGTTTGATGTTTGATCGGGTGATATGAACGCCGAATGAACCACAGTAAACACGAAGGAAATAGGAATGGAATCAAACATTAGCCTCCGATTGATGACCGATCGTGAAGAAGATGAAGCGCCTCCGACTCATGATGGGACCGGAGAAAATGAAGAATCGTAAGAAATCTTAAGTAACATTTCGATTGAGGGGTGTGGCTCAACGGTGGATGGTGATTCGTGAGGGGAAGGGAAGAAGACTCGCAGGCGGCTAATCCCAGTGCTCCAACGTCGATTGATAGCGATGAGGGAGCTCATCGGTGGGTATAACGTGGTCGTCAACCATGGAACAGGTGAGCGAACGGGATGGGTAAGGCAGTAATGAGGGTCGATTTCCTGCGAAAGCTTTGTCTTTGGAAAATTGAGGGGGACGAAGAGAAGGAAAGGGAAGGCAGTTAAGCTTCTCTCTTCCTGTTCTGATAACAAGGTGCGATGCGGAAGGGAAAACCAGTTAAGCTAAGAGAGCAGCAACATCGGCACAGGTGGTGTGTTTGGCAGTGGAGCTCGGCGAGAAGAAAGGCAGGTGCGATGGGGGGTGTTCGGCGCTGTTGTTTGCTTGACAATCACAGGTTTCCTTTCGTCTCTCTTCTTTTTTACTTTGATTGTAGATCCATGGGGTTTAGTCAATAGATTTAGGTTAAGATGAGTGTTTTTTGATTGATTGTTGATAGAAATGGATAAATGGAATGGATGAGTGAGGCTAATCTTTTACAGGAAATCGATGGATGGATGTTTGTTTTGCTTGATAGAATCGATGGGGTGTAAATCATTAAGTTTAGGTTTGTGTTTTGGTTGCTTGAAATTGTCATGGAAAGAAGATGAAGCATTATATTTCTCATTTGCAGGTATACATGAAAAGAACAAGAATGCTCTTGTGTTCTTGGCTGGGAACGAATGCAGAAGGGAAGAATAAGGATATGTGTTGATTGTATTGGTTGATATGTGTTGATTATATTGGTTTATGAGTGAGAGAGAGAGAGAGAGAGAGAGAGAGAGAGAGAGAGAGAGAGAGAGAGAGAGAGAGAGAGAGAGAGAGAGAGAGAGATATTTTATTTTTGTTTTATTTTTAATTGTTCTTTAATTGTTGTAATAAAAGAAAAATAGAAAATAAAATAATAAGGGGCAAATCCGTCATTATAAAAAAGTTTATAGGAAATTGGACTAAAATCGTAACAAAACGAAACTATTGGACCATCATTGCAAGCCAAACCCGTTTTGGACCAAAGTTGCTAATTTTAACATACCACCTGAACCATTCTTGCAATTTTGTCTATACTATAAATCTTGTTAACAACTTGGATTATCTTCGTGTATACTATCCGAATTAAATATCTTAAATTTCCAACAACCCTTTAAAAAAGGGACCCCCATTGCTGCTTTATTGTCTTCCAATACGTGGAAAATGAAAGAACAGGGAGTGCATGAAATAAACAAAAGCTAAAGAAAAACGAGGAAAAGGATAAGACATATAGAAATGGAGAAATAGCATTATAGCGGAGACTTGAACTTGACTTCATTTTCGTAAAGCCGAGCGGTTTTTGTATCTTGATTCCTCTGCTTTTGTTTAAAATCCCGCAACTGTTGATTTGCCTTTAATGTACGGAGAAGCTTTGGAAAAGCAATCGTCGAATCTTGACACTGCTACTGAATCTCTACCCACGATCACTTCCTTAGACATTAAGATAATATTCTAAACGACAAAACAAGAACAAGAACATGAAAACCCAGTTTCATCTGATTCGAGTTTAGATCCTCACTTTGGTTTCTGATAATTCGTAGAAGGCGATGATGAAAGGGGGTTCTTTTGGGAAGAAAAAAGGATCTTCCCAGAGCCAAGATCACGACTTTGCACAGTTGATCTTTTCATGGTCTCTTGACGACATTCTCAATGACAACCTTTATGAACACCAGGTTTTTCTTTTACTTTTACACACTTGATCGTTTCTTTCTTTTTGCACTTCCTAAAGTATTTTCTTGTTTTGATTCTTCTTTAACTTCGTACGTAAACTCATTCTTGATCCTATGAAGCCTTTCATACATAATGCTTGTAACTTTCTTGCTTCTTATTTTTTTAAAACTGTAGTTCTTTCAGATTAGCCCTTTGTTCAGGAAACCATTGGTCTAATTTTTCAATCAGTCAACATCATGGACATCTTATCACAAAATTGAACTGAAACATTGGTCGATTCATATTTATAATTATGAAGTCTGTTATCGATTTCACGTATATATCCAAGAGTCACAGAGACCGCATAATTTTTTTGAAAACTTTATAACCCATTGACCTCAAAGTCAACTTTTTTTTTTCTCCCATTCTGGGCTGGATTGTTTATCATAACTCTTTCCTGTGACTCGATGCATGATTTGCAGGTGGAGAAAATACCACTAACATTCCAGTCTGAAGAACACTACTTTCGTTCTTTTGTGTATCCTTTGCTCGAGGAAACACGTACTGAACTGGCTTCAAGTGTAAATCTGATGGATAGAGCTCCACGTGGTGAAGTTTCTTCATTTAGGATGGCGAAAGGTAAAGAGAAGATGATGTATGATGTAACTGTTGGTAATTGGAGAAACAGTGAACGCCCAAAAGAATCTTATCGGACTTTACCTGGTGATCTGCTTATTTTAACAAATGGGGAACCCGGATCTGTTTTTGATTTGCAGAGTGTGGGTAGTACATGGGCTTTTTTATTAGTAAATAACACAGAGGATGATGATAGTGGTACACCCGTACAGTTTAAAGTCGCTGCATCACAAAAGATCGAACTTCATGATCGGATGTCTGTTATTTTCTTGATGAATATAACAACCCAGAAAAGAATCTGGAATTCATTGCACAAGCATGCGAATCTTGATATTATCAAAGAGATTCTTTACCCTGATTCAGTGGTAAGAACTTGTTTGAAGTTATACTCTTATGTAGTTGAACAGAATCTTCTTTTCTCAAGTCTTATAATCATTGTTTATCATGGATGTGCTGTTACAGGTTAACGAGAAGTGTGATATGTGTTCATTAGTTTGCAATAGTTCTCTCCAAAGATTCGATCAAAGTCTTGTATCTAAACTGAATGAATCCCAGAAAGCAGCTATTATGGCTTCGATTGGTAAAGTGGAATGTTGCCATAAATCCTCTGTGGAACAAATATGGGGACCCCCTGGAACAGGGAAAACGATGACAGTAAGTGTGATGCTCTTTATCTTCTTGCAAATGAAGTGCAGGACACTTACATGTGCTCCAACGAATGTTGCCACAGTAGCAGTAGCCTCACGTGTTCTAAGCTTGGTAAAGGAATCATCTAAAACTATAACTGCAAGTGGTGATTCGTTTTGTTCCATTGGAGATTTGCTCTTGTTTGGCAACAAGGAGAGGTTGAAAGTTGGAACAGAGATTGAAGAAATCTATCTGGATCATCGAATTGAGAGGCTTACAGAGTGCCTTGGATCTCTGTCTGGTTGGAAGCATTGTATAAAATCTATGATTGATTTACTTGAAGATTGTGTTTCTCAATATCATGTTTTTGTAGAAAATGAATCGTTCAAGGAAGAACAACTTACAGATGAAAACAAAAGTAAAACCAACAAAAGCATGAAAGTCAAATCATTCATGGAGTTTGTGCGAGAACGATTCAGTTCTTTTGTACAACCACTCAAAAGGTGCATTATCACATTCTGTACTCATATCCCAAGAAGTTTCATGAAGCAAGAAAATTTCCAAACTATGGTCTCTCTTTTGGATAATTTAAGCTCTTTGGAATCTTTGTTGTCTAAAAAGAATCTGGTTTCGGATGAACTTGAGCACCTTTTCGTTTCTAAACCTTTGGAAGATGATTTTGTCAACTCAGGACACATGTCATCGATCAATTCTGTCAGAATCATGTCCCTTTCTCTTTTAAAAACTCTGCAGACATCTCTTGGAGGACTCAAGCTTCCAAATGGTTCCAGAGATGCAATAACACGGTTTTGTTATGAAAGAGCTTCTCTTATATTCTGCACACCTTCTACTTCCTTTAAGCTGCAGAAATTCAAAATTGAACCTTTGAAGTTACTGGTTATAGATGAAGCTGCTCAGATGAAAGAGTCTGAAGCCATCATTCCCCTTCAAATTCCTGGAATGAGGCATGCTATTCTCATTGGAGATGAGTGCCAGTTACCTGCAACGGTTAAAAGCAGTGTAAGCCTATATTAATTTTTATATATATATTTGTCGAACTTTTGTCTTCTGTTCTTATTTTTACTTTTAAGTTATACTTAGATCGAATCAATGTTTGTGGACAGGTTTCTAGTGAATGTGGCTTGGGAAGAAGCTTATTTGAAAGATTGAGTTTATTGGGTCATTCTAAGCATCTACTGAATGTTCAATACAGAATGCATCCTACAATAAGTTCCTTCCCAAATAGGCAGTTTTATCAAAACAAAATTCTGGATGCAGAAAATGTGACATGTAAAAGCTATGGAAGGCAATATCTTTCAGGACCGATGTTTGGTTCGTATTCATTTATAAATATTGTTGGAGGAAGAGAAGAAGGGGATGATGTCGGGAGCAAAAGAAACATGGTTGAGGTGTCTATTGTGGTTAAGATAGTGCAGAAACTCTATGAAGGTATACTATTTTATCTAATCCTTTTCTTTTAAGATTTGTAACTATATGTTCAATGATTTCTTGAACACATCATAATTTCATGTTTATAGAATGGAAAAAGTCTAAGAAAAAGGTTAGCATTGGTGTTGTATCTCCTTATGCTGCACAAGTTGTATCGATTGAAGAGAAACTTCGTTACAAGTATGAGAAACGTGATGGATTTTCAGTAAGTGTAAAGTCAATCGATGGATTTCAGGGTGGAGAAGAAGATATCATTATTTTATCTACTGTAAGATCGAATAGCCATGGGAATGTCGGATTCACTTCTAGTCATCAAAGGACTAATGTTGCATTGACCAGAGCACGGTGGGATTCTTTGACTTTCTTAACTATCGATCTTTATAGATAGCTTTCCTTTTTTAGAACTACATCTAATAAATTTGTATGTCTTCTCTTCCATTTCTATCTAGGCATTGTCTCTGGATATTGGGAAACGAAAGAACCCTGGCTCGTAGTGACTCGATATGGAAAGATTTAGTGTTTGATGCAAGGAATCGTCGTTGTTTGTTTGATGCTGATGCTGATAAATGCTTGAAGAAGATAATAATAGATGTAAAGCAAGGGCTAGAACCTCTTAACGATATGGTTAAGGGGAATAGCTTACTTCTTAAACATGTCAAATGGAAGGTATTGTTAACTTGACTTCCATTTAGAACATGATTACTTTTTCCTTAAATATATTATTATGTATTATCATGTTTTTGTTCTTCATATACTTTTTTTGCAATTTATGCCATCAGATTCTCTTCAGCGATAATTTCAGAAAATCTTTTGGAAAACTGATGGATTCTCGCATGAAGAATGTATTTGTAGATTTTCTACAGAAACTCTCTGGTGGATGGCGTCCCAATGATGGAAACACAGACTTAAAGGTTTTGAAAATATATAAGGTTGAAGGGCTCCATGTTGTTTGCACAATTGATATCATCAAGGAGTTGAAGTACATACAGGTTTTAAGGATCTGGGATATACTACCTTTGAAGGAGATTCCAAAATTGAGAAAAGAACTTGACAGCATTTTTGCTACATACACAAATGATCATATGAATCGTTGCACAACGAAACATTTGGAGGGGTATGCTCATTTGCACTTTTCTAAATCTTTAAGTTGTCGTCTCATTATGCATGCTTAATTAGTTCCTTGGACTTCATGTTGTCATGTTGAATTTAACTTTTCAGGAACTTGGAAATTCCTAAGAGTTGGGCATCATCCCAAAATATCATCCAGTTGCATATGAAGTTCTACTCCTTAACACTTGGGATGGTGAACCATTTGCGTTTTGGTAGAGAAATTGATCTACCCATGCAACTCTCTGATGAACAGATGGATGCATTTTTATCTTCCAAAAGTTCATTCATAATTGGACGATTAGGAACTGGAAAAACCACTATCTTGACGATGAAGCTGTTACAAAATGAGCAGTCTTTTCATGCTATTTGTAAAGCAGAGAGCAGCCGAGTTAAAGATGCTGAAGTTGTTGATGATCATGAAGAAAGCAAACCGATTGTTTTGCGACAGCTTTTTGTGACAGTTGACCAAAAATCATGCTATATGGTGAAGCAACATGTTTCCCAACTTAAAAGGTGTGCAAATGCTTGTTTCTTTTACTTAGTTTATGTGTCTTTGATTCTTTATACATGGGGATCTTCTATGGTCTTTTTCTGACTTGCAAGCATTGATGTATATGGCAGTGTTCCATGTGATGGGAATTCATCAAGAGAGATTAATCTTGATGATGTGGATATAACATCAGAATCCGATGTGCCAGACACATTCATTGATGTCCCTGAGAAAAGATATCCTCTTGTGATAACATTTCATAAGTTTCTCATGATGTTGGATGGAACATTGGGTGATTCGTTCTTTGAAAGATTTCATGAAGCAAGAGAAGGCTCTCATGGTAACCATATAAGTTCAAGATCTGTTGCATTGCAAACTTTTATAAGATCAAGAAACGTTACATTTGACAGATTTTGTTCGCTTTACTGGCCCCACTTTGATTCAAATTTAAAAAAGAAGCTTGATCCTTCAAGAGTGTTCACCGAAATGGTTTATCATATAAAAGGAGGAGAAATTCCTGATGGAAAACTGACTTATGAAGGCTACTCTTTATTGTCTGAAGGTTGTGCATCCACTTTAACAAAACAAAAAAGAGAGAATGTTAACACCCTCTTTCAAACCTATGAAAAGATGAAAACTGAACGTAGGGAATTTGATTTGGGAGATTTAGTAAATGATCTTCATCATCGACTTAAAACCAAGAGTTATGAAGGTGACCAAATGGACTTTATTTACATTGATGAAGTGCAAGATCTTAGTATGAGGCAAATTTCTCTTTTCAAATATATTTGCCAAAATGTTGATGAAGGATTTAGTTTTGCGGGTGATATTGCGCAAAACATTGCAAGAGGGATTGATTTTAGGCTTGAAGATATACGATCTATGCTCTATACCGAGTTTTTAGGAACCCGAACATCTGGAAAACAAGAGAAAATTGATATGTTTGAGATCTTTCAACTGAAACAGAACTCCAGAACTCATGCTGGTGTGCTCAAATTAGCTCAGAGTGTCATTGACATTCTATACTGTTACTTTGCTCACTCAATTGACATTTTGGAGCCTGAGTCAACACTTTTTTATGGGGAGGCTCCTGTTTTGCTCAATTCTGGCAATGATAAAAACGCTATTGTGAAAATCATTGGTGGCACAAGAACAAGTAAAGGATTTGTTGGCTTTGGTGCTGAACAGGTGATATTGGTACGTGATAATTATGTGAAGGCTGAGATTTGTGAATATGTTGGAAAGCGTGCTCTTGTTTTGACCATAGAAGAGTGCAAGGGTCTTGAGTTTCAGGTCAGTATCTCTTATCATTTCTGTCACACACTTTAACATATCCTTTGTGATTTTGAATTTCTTTTTCTTCTTGATGTCTCACATCTTCTTATTTTTAGGATGTGTTGCTCTACAACTTTTTTGGGTCATCTCCTTTGAAAGACCAGTGGAGTGTTATATATGATTACATGAAGGAACAAGATTTGCTTACTGAGGACCTTCCTCACTCATTCCCGAGCTTCAAGGATTCAAGACATAATGTATTGTGTTCTGAATTGAAACAGTTGTATGTTGCTATAACTAGGACGAGGCAAAGGCTTTGGATATGTGAGAAGAATGAGGAGCTATCTAAGCCAATGTTTGATTACTGGAAAGGGAGGTGCCTTGTTAAAGTAAGGAAGCTGAATGATTCAGTAGCACGGGCAATGCAATGTGGAAGCAGCCCTCAGGAGTGGCTGGAGTGTGGTAAAAAGGTGGATGTTTATCAGTTATTGCTATGAGTTTCCTCTTTTTTTTTTTTTTTTTTTTTTTTACAGTCTGAAAGGGTGCTAGTTTATGTTTGTGTGTCATCTTCTGTTACTTTAATTTGACATGCTTTGATTTCCTTCATATGTTTTTCAGCTTTTCTATGAGAATGTTTTTGTGATGGCTACAATGTGCTTCGAAAAAGCTGGAGATTCGATGTGGGAGACAATGGCCAAGGCTTCTGAACTCAGAGCATCTGCTGACCAGATGTGTGAAATAAATCCCGAAGCTGCTTCATGTCATCTTAGAGAAGCAGGTGAAATGTTCGAGTCCATTGGGAAACTGGAGCTAGCAGCTACTTGTTATTCTGATTTGGGAGACCATGAAAGAGCTGGTAACTTCTTTTCTCCATCATAAATGCCTGTCTAAAGTATTCAAGCACATGAAAAGATAAAACATAACCGTGTCCTTGTTTTATTGTTTATCAAATTTTACTCGTTGATAAAGTTATAAAGAACGTAAAAAGAGAGCATTTCAATTGATTTTTTCGGACAAAACTTGGATCTGAAATGTTGTTAATTGGCAAGTCTTTGATTATCTAAACTTTATGATTAGAATAACAATGATAACCAGAAAAACTTAGTATCTAGGTTTTAGCTATCGTCATTAGATCAACAAAAAGGATGTAATTCGGCTATAAAGTCTAGCAATATTATTTTAGTTTGTTGCATTTCTCTATGTTGTAAATTTCTATCATCTAATTCTAACATTTTGTACAGGAAAATTTTATTTGGATAAGTGTGGGGACATTAATGCAGCAGCAGAGTGTTTCTTGTTAGCAGGATGTTATAGTGATGCAGCAGAAGCTTATGCCAAGGGAGATCAGTTTTCTAACTGTCTGTCAGTTTGCAGAAAAGGGGAACTTTTTGATACAGGTTTCCAGTGTATAGAATATTGGAAAGAGCATGTTCATGTTCGAAGTAAAGAAATAGAACAAATCGAGCAAGATTTTCTGGAGAGTTGTGCTCTTAGTTACTACGAGCGCAAAGACAGTAACTCCATGATGAAATTTGTCAGAGCTTTTTCTTGTATGGAATCAAAACGTGTTTTCTTGAGGTGGTTAGGCTGCCTTAAAGATCTTTTGCTGTTGGAAGAAGAGTCAGGACATTTTCTGGATGCTGCTGAGCTTGCAGGGTCATGGGGTGATGTTCTGAAAGAGGCTGGTCTTTTGGAGAAGGCTGCTCATTTTAAGGAAGCAACATTGCTCATACTTTGTTATGTGTTCTCTAACTCCTTATGGGGAACTGGAAACACAGGTTGGCCATTGATCCCATTTGCTCAGAAGAAATCACTTTGTAAGAAAGCAAAGTTACTTGCAAAAATGGATTCGGATACATTTTTTAGTTTTGTTTGTAGTGAGGTTAAAGTACTCTCTAATCACCAGAGCTGCTTGTCTGAGCTGAAGAAGCATTTACATGCTTCCCAGCAACACAAGAGTCTGAGGGGAGTATTCTTATCGATTAGAAAGATTTTGGATGCTCATCTCCAGTTGAATATTTTAAAGTATGACTGGGAGGATGTGTTACCAACTGATATTAGTAAGTATGTAGAGGACAAGATCTCTCAGAATCAAGTTTCTGTTAGAACTCTGGTTTTTTATTTTAATCTCTGGAAGAACAACGTACTGGATATCTTCCAGAGTCTTGGAGGACTTGAGAATGCAGAACCAAATGAGCATGAAGGTCATATTGATTTCTGTTTAAATTATTTTGGTGTGAGGAAACAATATGTTAAAGGAAACATTGTTTACTTGTTAGTCAACAAGGATTTTGATTGGGTAAGAAATGTTAGTGATAACAAGGGGTTTCATAGGGATGGAGAAATTCTAATTTTAGATGGCAAGCAGTTGGGGCTTGCTATTCGGTCATATTGGCAGTCAGTTTTACTTTCAGTGGGTGTAAAGGTGCTTGAAACTCTTCAATCTCTCTATAATTTGACTCTAAACGGTTCTTCATTTCACCAAAGCACATCTCTTCTTCACATTTTTGAGGTGTCCAAGTTTCTTTTAGATTGTCAAGATCTTAACCTCACAGTTGATGATATGAAGATTTTGCAAGTTTTTCTTGGAAGCTCTATGATATATTTTGACTATGTGTTTCCGTTAGACTGGCGAAAATCAGTCTCTAGGAACTTGATTGCCTTAAGGGAGAGTGATCTTTCAATGAACTTGCTGGAGGAAGTTATTCTTCAGCACCTCAACATTGAAAGTGACCTCACCTATTGGACAACTGGGAGAGTGATGATGATATGTCTTAGTTCCAAAAAATCTGTTGCAGTTAAGGAGAAGATTATTAGGGATCTTCAATGGAATCCCTTATGGAAGTCATTTGCTGAGAAATTTACGGAAGATGGCTTCAATGAGGTTTATGTTGCTCTAACACTCCAGAATGCTCTGGAAGATACTTATAGAGCTTACTGGTGGTTTCCTGGTTACATGTCACCTCACAGTTTTGTGTATCTCATGGATCGTCTTCTTTTCATGGCATCTTTCTCGTTAGGAGTCTTTTTCACTACAAAATCTTCTTTTGTTGAATGGTATACTCATTTTCACATGATGTCTACTCCAGATTTAAAACAGATATTTTCGAAGGATATCGCACACTTTCTTGTTGGAATAGTTCAGCACATTCTCTACAAGAAAGAGGAAACCATATCATGGATTGGACGATCTAACATTGTTGCCACTTATTACCATCCACTGATAGCATTGAAGTTGGTTATGATAGTCTCTTTAATTTCTTTGCAATTATCAGATTGTTCCCAAGTAGTATTTGATTTGCTGTTGGGGTGGAACAACATTGCTTATTTGCTTCCCAAGAAGTTTGTAGGTGATCTTATAAGGAGAAGGAACGGTTGTAACTTGAATTTAAATCCAGATATGGTTGCAGAAGCATTTGCAAGCATAGAAGATCCTCTTCTAATTGTGAGTTCGGGAAATGCAACTCCAAGAGTTCATGCTCCATGTGCAATATTTGTGGACCTTAAGAGACCTAGAGAAGAGATCATGAGTGTATTGTTCCCAGGTGAAACTACACTTCATCCCCAGAAAGACAAAGCTACAATGATAACTGAGGCGAATCATGTTGAGGAAACTAGCGATGAACATAGCAATGTTGACCATTCACTGGTGGAATTGGAGGTAGAAAGTCAAAGCAGCAACGGTAACACTCAGGATTCAGGAAACAAAACAAGGATGGGAAATAGCAGCAGAAGGAAGAAGAGTAAAAAAAACAGAGGTAGCAACACTCAAAATACATTAGCTACTGTTTTTTTGGATGAACAACCTTGTGCCAGAGAAAGTACCACTCAACCTGAAGCAAAAAACTCATGGGATGACCTTACAACTCTACTTGAAAGAAACAACTCATGGGGTGACCTTACAACTTCACCTGAAGCAAAAAACTCATGGGATGACCTTACAACTCTACAGGAAGGAAACAACTCATGTGGTGACCTGAAGCAGGCTTCTTATGCATCTAATATGAGGTTAGACTTGCAATATTGTAAAATGCTAAGTTGTCTATTAATGTTTAAACTAGAATATATATATATATATATATATATATATATATATATATATATATATATTGAAATAGTATTTCCTTGCATTCTTTTGACTCATTTATATACATGCATATGGATGTGTGGATTATCATATGCAGTCGACCCAAAGTGGAGCTTCCAGATTCTACTAGTGGAATAAGAACTGGTGTCCAAACAACTGTGGAGAGGCTGCAAAGTAACAAGAGAATGGTAGATGCTTTCTCTAGCCAGTCTGTCATTGGTCAGGAATGGAAGGATGTTAAAAAGGTGGGTTCAGAGGAGAAATGTGTGGAGGAAGCTGATGATCAACACAGCATTAATGTTGGTCAATTACTGCTGGAATCGGTGTTAGAAAACAAAACCAATGATGATAGCACTCAGAATGCGGAAATCAAGAAAGGGAATGGAAAGAACAAGGGGAAGCGGATTAAGAAGAACAAAGGTAGCAATAGTTTAGGTACATTTACTACTGGTGATGTACATATCAATGATCTTTCACCGGTGGAATTGATGCTAGAAAAACAAACTAGCAATGAGAAGTCGAAGGATGTTGAATTTAAGGAAGGGAAGGGTAAGAACATGGAGAAATGGATTACAAAGAACAAAGTTAGCAATAGTGTAAATACAGTTAATGGTGATGGCAATTGCAATGATCATCCACTGATGCTAGAAAAACAAACCAGCAGTGAGAACACTCAGGATGCAGAAATCAAGAAAGGGAAGGTGAAGAGTAAATTGAAGAAAGGCAGCAACAGTCTAACTACATTTACCACTGTTCTTGTGGATGGACAACACTGTGCTGGAAAAGATACAACTCTACAGGAAGCAAACATCACATTCAATGACCTGAAACAACCTTCTTTTGCATTCGAAACAAGGTTAGACTTCAAATGTTGTAGATTTTCAAGTGGTTTATTGTTATTTTGACCCTTCTAAACTAAGTATTTAGTCTGCTTGTATTTGTTTGCCTTATTTTATACAATTATACATACATACATGAGTGTCTGGACTTTCATTTTCAGTCAACCCGAAGCAGATCTTTTAATTTCTAAGAGTGGTGAAACTACTGTGCAAACATTTGTGGAGAAGATGCAAAGTAGCAGGCCAATGGCAGATGGTTTCTTTAGCTATGTGGGTTCAGAGAGCAGCAACATAACCAAGGCTCTTCAGGTGGAGAATCATGTGGAGGAAACTGAGCATGATGAACTCAGCATTGGTGATCATTCACCTCTGGAATTGTGGTTAGAAAGCCAAAGCACCAATGATACAACTCAGGATATGGAAAACAAGAAAAGGAAGGGAAAATATGTTATTGAAGAAGATACAACTATGTGTGAAGAAAATAGTGCATACAACGACCAGGAGCCTTCTTCTCCTTTTGATAGGAGGTTAGTGATAACTCTTATATATCAATGTTATTTACATATAATTAAAGAAAAATGCTGGTTAATACATGTTTTTAGTTTATATTTTACTAGTTTTGTTAACCTTTGGTTGTTTAATATGGAAACTTTTTGCACTTTGTTGTTATGTATGTTGCAGGATAAATACATTGGACACAGTGAAATGCGGTAGCTTTCTAGGTTTAGCAGTAGCATTCTTGGGAATTTGCATGTGGAGGAAAACTTGATTAAATGGTAATGATGCTTCTTAAGGTATTTCGCAAACTTCATATATATAAGTAAAAAACGAAGAAAGAGAATTAGAGAAAAGAGACCTCATTCTCCTCTCTAGGAACTTCTCTAGGAACTGAAGGGGTGCTTTGCATATGATAAAATGGCATCAGGTGCATTCAAGCCAAAGGAAGAGCAGAGAATTTGATTATCAACTTCATCAAATCACTTCTTTCCTGGTTTGATTTTTATGTTTTCATGTATATGAAGCATAGTTTGATTTAGATATTTTGATTTGACAATGATAACTAATTTCCACTAGCTACTTGGCCTAAGTTGTATGGGCACTATAAGTTTTACGAATGTGCATGTGCTTAGTCTTGTCTCACTTATGCCTCATTCCCGAGTCTCATTTAAGGAGGGAAGGGGAGGTAAGTGGAAGGAATCGGGGGAAAGGCTGATAAAATCTTGTTCCCGAGTTTTTTTTTTTTTTGGATGATTTGGAAAGAAAAGAAGAGAAGATAAGGGAAGATCTTCCCTCCTAATCTTCCTCCCAAATTGGAGAGAAGTCGATCTTATCCTCATCCTTTTTTTTTGCTTTCTAATTTTACATAAATATCCCTCATATTACTATATAAATGAACCATATAAACTAGAAAACAAATCATGTAATCAAGATTCTGCACAACTTTCAAGCTGTTCAACCATGTCTTCATTCTTCGTCCTTGTAGCTTATAAATAAATGTTTCCACCTTTTTAGTTTTAACTAGTTCTTATTCGTCCGGTGTAATAAAAAAATATTGATTTTATTTTCTTTTATAACATCATACTTTCAATGTATTATGTGTTGGTGGAAGAATCATTACAGTTTTTACATAAAAAAATATTTACTATTAACAAAGAAAGTGCCTTTTTTTCTAGTGTTTTATATGTATTTTAGGACTTGACACCCCAAGCTCACTTTTTTGGTGTAATTGATGTTACACAAAGATCCTTCGATTTTGGGAAGCAACCCAAAACAACCCCGTATATGAGAAGTGAAACAATAACAAAGAATATAAATAATGATCAAAGAAAAGACAAAGTAAGTGTGGATGAATATTCCTACAAGTCTTTGTCTTCCTATAAATCAAGACATATATGTTAACCAATGATTTTTAGCATAAAAATGGATGAAATAACCACCTACATGACATATGATTGCCTATCTGTCATTGATATTAGCAACAAAAGCCTATTTTGAAATGTAAGAGCATAAATTGTACAACTTTGTTATACTGAAACGTCCTAAAAATATGACCCAAAAAGTTTATTTTTATTTAATAAAAACAATATTCCAAAAACATCATCGATACAATCCAAATAAAGTAAGAAGTATCAAACATCATCTCAAATCAGAGCAAATCACAAAAAGCGAAACTATGTCGTGTGCAATGCAGTCATCCCGAGCTCTTTCCAATGTAATAAGAAGTACGTGAAACATAAATTGAAAACTGTAACCACAAAGCTTAATGAGTTCCCCAAACTACCACATACCATACATAATAAATCAAATATTCGGCCTCCACCCTTCATCGGGCCCCGCCTGACATCGGGCCCCATCCACTATACACATACAATATATATCACATAATCATGGTAACACATACAATTATCATAAAACAATAGCATACAATTCAGTCATCGGGCCCCGCCCGACATAGCCCTGCCCAGTATATAATTATATATAGCAACACATAAAACCTGCAAGGGTCATGTAGGCTCCTAGCATCCTAACATAAACAATAAAGGCCGACATGGTACCTTAGACTTGTTAAACCCATTGAGGAAACTCCCCTCAATCGATAGATTAAATATCCTACACTCGTTGTCGCGAACTGAAGAATCCTCAAGCTATAAATACCAAATAACATCCAGTTAATAATTGGATTCCAATCCACAGCTATCAACCCATAATTAGGGTAAAAAGACCATTTTACCCATAACCTAGTTTGGACCAAGACTTAGGCCCAAACCTATAATCCAAAAGGCCTAAAATCCAACTAATTGATCAAGGCCCATACTTGGCCCAATTTTCCAAATTGGTCCCAAAACCTTACATAGGCCTTACCCTAAAGCCCACCCATTCTCCTAGCCCAAAACACTTGCACTTAGATGGTCCAACAAGAACCCAAGCACTTAAACCCAAAAGAAAGGCCCAACCTCGAAGCCCAAAACACAAAGCCCAACAGACTAAGTACGCGAGGCGTACTCAGTTGTAAGCTAAGCATACACGCTAAATGGCTTGTATGTTGTGTGTACATACTTATACGCATAATATACTCACCCATTAAGCGAAAACCCACTTTAAGCACTTAATGCTTAAGACCAGAAGTCCAAACCACATATCTAATACCTAATAAACGTTTAGAACCATACAGTCACTGACTTGGTGACTTTGCATGCCCCAAAAGGACCCAACTTCAAGATATAGCACTTTACTTTCACTAAATGGACATAATCTCATGCATGAGTGATTCTAAACCTCAAAGGTGCCAACTTTATGGACTTTGAACCTCAGAAACTCCAAGAGTGGCAACTAATAGCTCCTGGAGTGGTGTCAAACCACTAGATCTCATTCATGAGGCCAAAAAGGGTCCAAAATTCATATAAACTAGATCTAAGCTAATAATGAACAAGATCTTAGCCTTTTACCTCAAACAAGCTGGAAAATGGGGTAGAGAATCAGGATCCATAAGCTCTTCCTTGATCAACAACCTTGCACCAAACTCCTTCTTGTTGATAATGAACTAAAACACACCAAGAAGCACACAGTGAGCTCAAAAACACAAAGGAAAGGTCTAGGGTTTCGAAATGAGGTTATAAGGTAAGTGGAGGCTGAGAAATGAGGGTAACATGAGCCATAAGTGTGATTATATAATGTCTAACTTCATAAATTAGGGTTATAACATAGATCAAATTAGGTTGCATGTACCCTTAAACGTATAATTTATTTTCTACATTATTACATGTAAAAACTAAAAACAATCATGTTTTTGAAGTCGTGTGTGAAAAGGACCTTCTACACAATATAAAAAAAACACAAGGGTTGAGTTTGTTTATTTATTTGGAACATGTATTGGAAATGTCTGTTACCTCATATCATAGGTACCATTTATGTAATTTTGTAAATAAACTATAAAATATTAAATTAAGATTATCTTCGTGTGTACTATACTATTATCCTAATAATTTTTAAATAGCTTATATTTCCAACAACCCTTTTATATATAAAAAAAGGAGATAATTTGGCAAATGACCATAATTTACAATGATTTTGAAGAAAATGACCACAAAAATCAATATTTCAGAAAATGACCAAAGGTTCCGTAGAGGGGGTTCTGCGGAACCATAAAAACCTCTGCGGAACCCTTAATTGATCTGCGGATAGATAAAAACAACGAAGAAAAGGCATTCCTCACTACTCGACTGCGGAAGGAAGGTGGAGATCTGCTGCGGACATCGACTCTGATCGAAACGAATAAGAAAATGTCAAGGCGAGCTCGATTTGCGGAGCAACTGCACTCCGATGTGTTATCAGATGGATATGGAACTCAAGTAATTTTTTTTCCTAATTTTTGTATAAGAACTCAAGTAATCTTTGTAGAAATCGATTATATGATTTGGAAATTGATTGATTTAATGTTATTTATAAACACATATGTTTGTTGGGGTGCAAGAATAAGAAATAAGAAATCAATTTATGCAGAGGAGGCCTTGTTTTCGTCAAGAACAGATTCGCAGAGGAGCCCTCTGCGGAACAATAACTGCCTCTGCGGATCTTTTTTTTTTTGATTTTCTGTAATTATTATCTCTTAAATAGACCATTGAACATTGAGATCATTTTATGTTGATTATGTCGCATATTAAAATAGATTTCCAATTATTTGTGTAATTAGAAAAAATATTGAAAATTGAAAATTTCTATAATTATTATTAAAATGGACCATTTATGTAAATTTTATAATATATATGAGACCATTTTGTAAAATTCTGTAAATTTGTTATAAAAAAGGGACAACTTTTTTTAAAAGATAATTATTCACGTAGACTATTGTATAAAAAGTTATAGAATAAAAACGATATTTTTGTTGCAGAAAATTGTTAAAAAACAATATATCAGTATTATTTTGTTTAATTTTTGGCATATATGTTTAATCTTTTGCAGCATAGTTTACATGGATGGCTTGCAGAATATACTTTTAGAGGGGCGTTTGGGACTATGTTGAAAAAGTACATTCCAAAACTAAAATAGTAGGCGACTTGAATTATTTCGAGAGACAGCTTTTGAGATCTTCATTGGTATGCCCAACCTGAATGGTGACCCGATGCTCTGTCATTTGATGATGTTGTATGAGGTTTATGATGTAGAGGTAGCCAGGACTGGGAGGTTTCGGTTCGAGTTACAAGGCAGGGTGGTTGAATATGGTGAAATAGAATTTTGTTTGATTAGCGGTTTGAGATTTGGGCCGTATGTTGATATAATAAATACAAAAGTCAACAGAAGTTCAACATTAAGGAATCAGTTGTTCCCTAATGTGAGAGATGAAGATTTACGGTTGAAAAATTTAGAAGACTACGTAAAAGAGCCAGCATTCTTAATGTGTAGCGATGAGGATGCAGTAATGGTTATGCAAATGATATTTTTGTTGAGGGGTCTCATAGGACAAGATGACAATACGTGCATTCTGTCGGCAGTGCATGAGCTAGCCGATAGTCAATATAATTGGAACATGTATTAAATTTAATATTTAATATTTATTTATAAATACTTGATGATTTATATTATTTATTAATGAGTACGACAGGTTTGCATGGGGTACGTATCTGTGGAGGTATAGTGAAACACAATTACTTTGGTAAAATCTCTAGATATTTACGAGATAATGAGGATGAGGGTTACACGAAGACGATGAAGTATACTGTTCTAGGTTTTCAGTTTCCGTTTAAGGTTAGTTTTAGCTGCAATTAATTGGTATTTTTTAAGTGCTTATAAGTTTGGACAAAGCATAATTTTTTGTCGTTATAATAGGTATGGATTTTGGAGACATTTCATGAAGCTTTGAGGTTTGCGCATCACGAAAAAAATGAATTTCCAAGAATGAGGGCATGGAGAATAAAAACACAATTGATTCTCGAGCAATGTTTGTGTATGTTAGACGTTTCAGTGGTATAATTATGCAATCGTTATATTAAATATATATAGTTAAAAATTACAACAATTTTATATACTTAAATTTATATTAATTTTGTAGGATAATAACATTCCACGTGATTTTGAACCAACGCCTGTTGAGATCAGTTTTCCATTCTTTGAGCGTTATGTTAATTGGACTCTAGATAAAGTGCAATCGCCACCGCAACAACAGAGTCCTCCTAAGGAGCGTTCTCCATCACCGCAACTAATGAGTCCTCCTATGCAACGTTCTCCATCACCTTGGAATCAGTTTCAGGGAGCAGATTACACCTCAGCCTCTCATTTTTAGGAAACATCCCACGGATCTGTAGAAAACAGTAAATTAGACAAGGTATTTTGCGTTGTTAATGAATTGAAAACCACAATCGGGCACTTTGGGAAGAGAATGGATAATTGGGAAAAAGATAAACAATTTGGTGTGAACGATATGGAAAATGTGGATGCGGGGGAAGCATTTTTTGGTGGTTTGGGTCCTGAGTCAGGCCATACGTATGTGCAGACGCCACCGCTTATTGTTGATGTTGAGGATAACATAGCTACACCAATTAAAGGACGGATAAAAATGAAATCGAAATTTTGTAGGGAGCCTTACACACATGTATAAAATTAAGTAATTTCTATTTATATAGTATATAATCGTTCCAAATTAATTAACATATTGATTTTGTAGGTTCCTCCGACGACGAAACCATTAAAGAACAGAAAAGGGAAAAAACACAGAAGGAAAATAATGTAGCAAAAAGACAATTACTATTGAATAATTATGCAGATTGTGATGATGAATTTTGGAAATTGTGGGGAAAGAAGATGGGGGCGGTATTTGTGGAGCATAGACTTTTAAGAGGTATTGACATGAATTGGGAATTTTGGTCTACTTTACTTGGTATTGGCGCTCGATGGTTGCTCCCTAAGGTAACGAACACCCCTTATTTTATATTAAAAAAAGGGTTAGATAATTAATTGTTCAAAATGATTTTGTTATCTAACACACAACATCTGGTTATCTGGTCATCGATGCAAGTCCGTCGAATTGTAGGTGGATGATTATTAATCCTAAAGGCACGATTTTGGAACCTGGGAAACAACATTATTTGAGGCATATAGCAGTCGAGATGGTTGATGGACCACATTAGAAGGATATTGATCAAACAAGTATATATATATATATATATATATATATATATACATACACAAACACATACACACACACACATTAAAATATGTATATATCTAATATGTTATTATTTTTTTGAAGGTTTTAATTCCAAACAACATACCGCAACTGCATTGGTATTTGGCTGATTTGGATCTTCTGACATGGAAAGTGACCATATATGATTCAGCTGAATGGTGTGGTTTCTTTAAAAAAAAAATTAGATGACGGTAGTTTCAAATCGTTGGGAGATAGTATATTAAGTGAACTAGACCACATATCATATTGGGCCCGTTTTCCCAATAGACAGGAACCTACTAAGGTGAAATTCGTTAAAGGTAAACATGTATCGTAGCAAGGACAAGTAGAAGAAGGAGAAAGAGGAGATTGTGGAGTTTTTGTTTTCATGTTCATGGAAATGATTGCATCAGGTGTACCAGTGGAGACACGTCAATCACCTAGAGATACGGGATTTACTTACCGTAATCGGATGACAGAAACTATTTGGAAAACTAAACTTTGATTGTGTTATTTGGAATAGTAGACTTTGATTGTGTTATTTGGAATACTAGACTTTGATTGTGTTATTTGGATTTACATATAGCTACACCTATTAAAACAAAACAAACATGAGATACCTAACTATTAGAACAACTACCAACAACTTGTATATACATATGCTCTTCTTGGAATCACACATCCCCTTCTCCATGATTGCCACTACACTCTTTTACTTAGGAGAAACTCCAACTCAACATTCTTATTCCTTAGTTATTTATGAAACCAAGATCATCTTTGGATTCCAACTGTTGCTTCATGGAATAGATGAGGTTTTTGTAGTAATCATCTTCAAGTGCAACATCTTTCCATTCAAAAGTAATAACATTTCCTTAGTCTTGTCTGTATCAAACCCACATGAATAAAACATCAAAACACAATGACTAATCACCCAAGATGTATTTTAAACAATCGCAGTTATATATGTATATTTAGAAACGAAGCTTACAAAGCTGTTGTTGCAGTTCCAAAAACGTCTTCCGGGGTTAGTGAGTTTCCAACATGTTCGTTCCTTAGTTGGAACATCGCAATGACAATTGTTAACATCGTCTTTAACAAACACGCGAGCAACTTGGAGGCGGTTTCTTGCATTGGAGGAGCTCATAGACATTGTGTTGAAGAATCAAAGTGGTAAGAAAGAAATGAATGAGGTCCAAATTGGGGGTTTTGACACATCACTAAAGAACTGTTTTCTACGGATCATTGCACACCTTTGCGGATCAGTGCATACCTCTAAGGAGCAGTGCACACCTCTACGACTCTGTGTACACCTCCGCGGATTACCAAACAACTCTGCGTGATAAGTAATATAAAATCACTTTACCATGTGTATCCTTTCATCGATTGTGTACCATTTCTTCTTGATTTCATTTTTTTTTTATAAATTAACCCTTATATTTTCCGCCATAATGGCTTCCATACCATGGAGCGTTGAGGATAACCTCCGTCTAACTTGTGCATATATTAATATCCACGAGACCACCAGGATGAATGATCCAAGTTATTGGACACGTTTAACTTATGCATTCAACACTGACCCTCAAACTACCCCAGAAAAATACCGCAACACCATTGACATCACAGCAAAATGGTATGAATTAAAAACAGAAGTTTTGGTTTTCAACAATCTTTATACCAAAATTGATGACGCACGTCCGGATGAAGATGAGGAAGTCATCCTGGAAGCGGCTAAAGCGGAATACATATCCATTAGTAACGGGTTAGAATTCGAGTTTGAAGGGCCTTGGAATCTATTAAAAGATCTCCCGTATTTTTAATTTGTATTGCGTTTGTAGAAGGATAATTTAATGTAGTTTGTTTTTATTAGGTTATTTATATGCACCGGTTTGTATTACGTTATTTATATGTATTTGGTTTGAATTAGGTTATTTACGAAACCAGTTGAGTTAACTTCTACTTTATTCCATAGAACATAAAATACAAAACAGTACAAATACATGGAAAACATACATCAGTAGCAAACATATTACATAAAACATTTCACATAAAAAAACCCTTCTACATGAAATACTGGTGGTTCTTAACTAGATTCCCAGTGTCCACATACTCGAAGTCTTTTCCCTCATGCTCGAAAATGTAATGATCTAAAATCATTTCTACAAGAGCATCCTCGTTTGAGTAATAATAATTACTACTAATTTTAAGATGATGATACCATCGATTGAACCATGTGATTTCGTTCTTTAACTCCATCCACTTACTAAGAATATCTACTAGTACCCGATATTCTCCTTGTCCAAATGAAAGGTTGAACATACCTGTTATGCGGGTCCATTCATCACCTCCAAGGTAATTAGGGGTAACCATTGTTGTTTCACCTTCAAAAATGTTCAATCAACATCGTATTATAACCATCACCTCTTTTGTCGTCCATGGACATGGAGTATCGGACGATGATGTTGCATTCATAGAAATTGGTGCATTGGAGGTCATTTCTATATTTCTTAATACTGGGTGAGTTGATACAATATTTAACAGGTATGAAAATTTATACAATGATATGTACAGGTATACACTGATCCGTAGAGGTGTACACTGATCTGCTGATAACAGTTCTGTAGATTCCCAAACAGTTATGTGGACTGATATTGAACATAAGTTCATTACTTTTAACATTTTTATCAAATTATTTACATAATCACATAAGGTATTAGTGTATTTAAAAAAATATTAATAAATGAAAATGAATGAAAAAAAAACAAAAAAACGAAAAAAAAAAATCAAAAAAATCAAAAAACATCAATTTTGCAGAGGTGTAGCGGATCCACAGAGCAGCTAATGGATCCGCAGAGGGTGCTCTACGGATTCTTTGGTCATTTTCCAAAATCCATTTTTCCTTGGTCATTTTCTTGAAACAACCCTTCCTTTTTGGTCATTTTCAAAAACACAAAGGAAATGTCTAGGGTTTCGAAATGAGGTTCTAAGGTAAGTGGAGGCTGAGAAATGAGAGTAATATGAGCCATAAGTGTGATTATATAATGTCTAACTTCATAAATTAGGGTTATAACATAGATCAAATTAGGTTGCATGTATCCTTAAACGTATAATTTATTTATTACATGTAAAAACTAAAAACCATCAGATTTTTGAAGTCGTGTGTGAAAAGGACCTTCTACGTTGTATAAAAAAAACACAAGGGTTGAGTTTGTTCATTTATTTTGAACATGTATTGGAAATGCCTGTTACCTCGTATCATAGGTACCATTTATGTAATTTTGTAAATAAACTATAAAATATTAAAGGGGTGTTTGACTTAGCTTTTGTGAGGTAAAAGTTGTTTTTGTAAAAGAACTTTTTACAAAAGTTATTTTTTAAAATGTGTTTGGATTGACTTTTGAATGGAAAAAATCAAAAATTAAAATGTTTGGTTTAACTTTTACATGTAAAATGATAAAAAAAGACATGTTTAGGGTAGATGAAGGGTATATTGGTAATTTAATATTTTTAGCTGGTAAAAAGTTGGGAAAAGTTAGGTATTTGTGATTTTTCAAAAAGACTCAAATTACTCTATAAGAAAAGTCATTTACAAAAGTCTCCTTTATCAAACATCTTTTGAAACTTTTTCTAAAAGATAAAGTCAAAATTAAACCAAACACCCTCTAAATTAGGTTCCTGTACTATACTAGTATCCTAATAAATTTTAAATAGCTTATATTTCCAACAACCCTTTTATATATAAAAAAAGACCCCATTGGCCATTGCTTTTTTTTTTTTTTTGGTCTTCCAATACGTGGGAAACGACAACTAAAGCTAAAGAAAAACGAGGAAAAGATAAATCATAAAGAAATGGAGAAATAGCGGAGACTTGAACTTGACTTCATTTTGGTAAAGCCGAACCGTTGTGTATCTTGATTCCTCTGTTATTGCTCAAAAGAAATGTTGATTGTGCCTTTAATGTACGGAGAAACTTTAGAAAAGCAATCGTCGAATCTTTTCTCTGCTATTGGATCTCTACTACGATCACTTCCTTAGACAGTAAGATAAGACGCATCATTTTCTAAACGACAAGACAAGAACAAGAACAAGAAAACCCAATTTCATATTCGAGTTTGGATTCTCATTTTTGGTTTTTTTATAATCATTAGAAGGTGATGATGGAAGGGGGTTCTTCAGGGAAGAAAAAAAGAGCTGCTAAGAGCCAAGATCACGACTTTGCACAGTTGATCTTTTCATGGTCTCTTGACGACATACTCAATGACAACCTTTATGAACACCAGGTTTTTCCTTTACACAGTTGATCGTTTCTTTCTTTTTGTAGTTCTTGAAGTCTTTTGTTGTTTTGTTCTTTTTTAGTTTCATTCTCGATTTTCATACATATATAATGCATGTAACTTGGATCATTCCACCTTTTCTTACCCCTGTCTTATTTTTAAAATTGTAGTTGTTGTTTCAGATTAACCCTTTCTTTAGGAAACCATTAGTCTATTATTTCAATTGGGCATCTTATCACAAAATTGAACTGAAACATTGGACTGTTTAGTTATAAGTTATAACTATGAAGTCCGTTTTGATTTCACATATACATCCAAAAGTTGCAGAGATCACATAAACTTCTTGAAAAAATTATAATCCATTGAACTCAAAGTCAACTTTTTCTCATTTTGGGCTGGAATATTTATCATTCTTTTTCTTTCTTTCCATGATCAATCATCAGTGGCAAGAAGATCACTGATTATTTGTTTTTTGAGAAACATAAAACATGAATTTTTTGTGATTTCCTAATAAGTCATAACTATATGTTGTTTAAATAAGCTGTTTGGCTTTATCTTTATAGATCATATCTCCATCACATGAATCTTTCTTGTGACTTAATGCGTCATTTGCAGGTGGAAAAAATACCACTTACTTTCCAATCTGAAGAACACTACTTTCGTTCTTTTGTGTATCCTTTGCTTGAGGAAACACGTACTGAATTGGCTTCCAGTATGAAGATGATGTACAAAGCTCCATTTTCTGAAATTTCTTCTTTTAAGAAGGCCAAAGGAAAAGAGAAAACGATGTATGATGTTACTGTTGCCACTTGGAGAAACAGTGAACGCCAAAAAGAGCCTTATCAGACTTTACCTGGTGATCTGCTTATCTTAAAAAATGGGGAACCCGGATCTGTTTCTGATTTACAGAGTGTGGGTAGTACATGGGCTTTTTTATTAGTAAATAACACAGAGGATGATGATAGTGGTACACCCGTACAGTTTAAAGTCACTGCATCACAAAAGATTGAATTCCATGATGGGATGTTTGTTGCTTTCTTGATGAATATAACAACCCAGAAAAGAATCTGGAATTCATTGCACAAGCATGCAAATCTTGATATTATCAAAGAGATTCTTTACCCTGATTCAGTGGTAAGAAGTTGGTTGAAGTTATGGTTATAATTAGTTGATAAAATCTTCCTTTCTTAAGTCTTAACATCATTATTTATCATGGATGTCTTGTTACAGGTTAACGAGAGGTGTGACATGTGTTCATTAGGTTGCAATAGTTCTATCCAGAGATTTGATCAAAGTCTTGTTTCTAAACTGAATGAATCTCAGAAAGCGGCTATTATGGCTGCAATTAGTAAAATGGAATGTTGTCGTAAATCCTCTGTGGAACAAATATGGGGCCCACCTGGAACAGGGAAGACAATGACTGTAAGTGTGATGCTCTCTATCTTCTTGCAAATGAAGTGCAGGACACTTACATGTGCTCCAACGAATGTTGCCATAGTAGCAGTAGCTTCTCGTGTTCTAAGCTTGGTAAAGGAATCATCTAAAACTGTAACTGCAAGTGGTGATTCGTTTTGTTCCATTGGAGATTTGCTATTGTTTGGCAACAAGGAGAGGTTGAAAGTTGGAAAAGACATTGAAGAAATCTATTTGGATCATCGGGTTGAGAAGCTTACAGAATGCCTTGGATCTCTGACTGGTTGGAAGCATTGCATAAAATCTATGGTTGATTTACTTGAAGATTGTGTTTCTCAATATCATGTTTTTGTGGAAAATGAATCGATGAAAGAAAAACAGGTTACAAATGAAAACAAAAGTAAAACGAACATCTTGAAAATCAAATCCTTCATGGAGTTTGTGCGAGTACGATTCAGTTCTTTTGTACAACCACTCAAAAGGTGCATTATCACATTCTGTACTCATATCCCAAGAAGTTTCATGAAGCAAGAAAATTTCCAAACTATGGTCTCTCTTTTGGATAATCTAAGTTCTTTGGAATCGTTGTTGTCCCAGAAGAACCTGGTTTCTGAAGAACTTGAGAAAATTTTCGTTTCTAAACCTTTGGAAGGTGATTTTGTTAAGTCAGGTGATATGTCATCGATCAATTCTGTCAGAATCATGTCTCTTTCTCTTCTAAAAAGGCTGCAGACCTCTCTAGGAGGACTCAAGCTGCCAGGTGGCAACAGACATGCAATAATACGGTTTTGTTATGAAAGAGCTTCTCTTTTATTCTGCACAACTTCTACCTCCTACGCGTTACAGAAAGTCAAAATGGAGCCTTTGAAGTTACTGGTTATAGATGAAGCTGCTCAGATGAAAGAGTCTGAAGCCATCATTCCCCTTCAAATTCCTGGAATGAAACATGCTATTCTCATTGGAGATGAGTGCCAATTACCTGCAACAGTTAAAAGCAATGTAAGGCTATTTTAATTTCTATTTTTCTATTTTCAAAATTTTGTATACTTAGATGGAGTCGATGTTTGTGGACAGGTTTCTAGTGAATGTGGCTTGGGAAGAAGCTTATTTGAAAGATTGAGTTTGTTGGATCATTCTAAGAACCTGCTTAATGTTCAATACAGAATGCATCCTAAAATAAGTTCCTTCCCAAATAGGAAGTTTTATCAAAATAAAATTCTGGATGCAGAAAATGTGACAAGTAAAAGTCATGGAAAACAATATCTTTCAGGACCGATGTTTGGTTCGTATTCATTTATAAATATTGTTGGTGGAAAAGAAGAAGGTGATGATGCTGGGAGCAAAAGAAACATGGTTGAGGTGTCTATTGTGGTTAAGATAGTTCAGAAACTTTATAAAGGTATACTATTGGTTATATTATATCCTCAGCATGCAGCTGTCTTTTTATCTTTTTGTCTTTATGTTTTCTTTTTTGATGTTGGTAAGTTGAATTTGGTTCATATAATCTTTTTAATGTTTCAATGATCCTTTCATGGCATCTTCTTCCATGTTTGTAGCATGGCACAAGTCCAAGAAAAAGGTTAGCATTGGTGTTGTATCTCCTTATGCTGCACAAGTTGCATCGATTGAAGAGAAAATTCGTTACAAGTATGAGAAACGTGATGGATTTTCAGTAACTGTAAAGTCAATCGATGGATTTCAGGGTGGAGAAGAAGATATCATAATTCTATCTACTGTAAGATCGAACAGCCATGGGAATGTTGGATTCATGTCTAGTCCTCAAAGGACTAATGTTGCCTTGACTAGAGCAAGGTGAAATTCTTTGACTTTCTTAGCTATTGATCTTTATAGATAGCTTTCCTTTTCTAGAACTACATCTAATAAATTTGTATGTCTTCTCTTCCGTTTCAATCTAGGCATTGTCTCTGGATATTGGGGAACGAAAGAACCCTAGCTCGTAGTGACTCGATATGGAAAGATTTAGTGAATGATGCAAGGAATCGCCATTGTTTGTTTGATGCTAATGCTGATAAATGCTTGAAGAAGATAATAATAAATGCAAAGAAAGAGATAGAACCACTTAATGATATGGTTAAGGGGAATAGCTTACTTCCTAAACATGTAAAATGGAAGGTATTGTATCTTAACTTGACTTCCATATACAACATGATTACTTTTTCCTTAAATATGTTATTTTGTATTATCATGTTTTTGTTCTTCATATACTTTTTTTGCAATTTATGCCATCAGATTCTCTTCAGCGATAATTTCAGAAAGTCATTTGAAAAACTGTCAGATTCTCACATGAAGAATGTAGTTGTAGATTTTCTACAAAAACTTTCTGGTGGATGGAGGCCCAATGATGGAAACATAGATTGTCAAACATCATCAAAGGTATTGAAAACATATAAGGTTGAAGGGCTCCACCTTATTTGCACGATTGATATCATCAAGGAGTTGAAGTACATACAAGTTCTGAAGGTTTGGGATATATTACCTATAAAGGAGATTCCAAAACTGAGAAAACAACTTGACAGCATGTTGGCTACATACACTGATTCTTATTTGAATCGTTGTGCAACAAAATGTTTGGAGGGGTATGTACATACATTTTCCGTTTACTGAATCTTAAAGCTATTATAATGCATGCTTAGTTCATGCTCTTAATATTGTCATGTTGGATTTATATTGTTCAGAAACTTGGAAATTCCTAAGAGTTGGGCAACATCAAAAGCAATTATCCAATTTCGGGATGTAATAAAATGTGAAGATGACAATGAAGTGAGTGAAAGCTTGTTGCATATGAAGTTCTACTCCTTATCACCTGGGATGGTGGAATATTTGCGTTTTGGTAGAGAAATTGATCTACCTGTGAATCTCTCTGATGAACAAATGGACATATTTTTGTATTCCAAAAGTTCATGTATTATTGGGCAATTAGGAACAGGCAAAACCACTATATTGACAATGAAGTTGTTACAAAATGAGCAGTCTTTTCGTGCTATTTGTAAAGCAGAAAGCAGCCGAGTTAAAGATGCTGAAGTTGATGATGATCATGAAGAAAGGAAACCGACTGTTTTGCGACAGCTTTTTGTGACAGTTGACCCAAAATCATGCTATGTGGTGAAGCAACATGTCTCCCAATTTCAAAGGTGTGCAAATGCTTGTTTCTTTTACTTATTTCTTGTCTTGGATTGTTTATACATAGAAATCTTTTATCTCATCTTTTGACTTTCAAGCATTGATGTATATGGCAGTGTTTCATATGATGGGAATTCATCAAGAGAGATTAATCTTGATGATGTAGATATAACATCAGAATCTGATGTGCCAGACACATTTGTTGATGTCCCTGAGAAAAGTTATCCTCTTGTGATAACATTTCATAAGCTTCTGATGATGTTGGATGAAACATTGGGTGATTCATTCTTTACAAGATTTCATGAAGCAAGAGAAGACTCTCATGGTAACCATATAATTTCAAGATCTGTTGCATTGCAAACTTTCATAAGATCAAGAAACGTTACATTTGACAGATTTTGTTCACTCTATTGGCCTGAATTTGAATCAAGTTTGACAAAGAACCTTGATCCATCTAGAGTGTTCACTGAAATAATGTCTCAAATAAAAGGAAGCTTGCAAGCAGGAGATAATTTTGATGGCAAACTGAGCTCTGAAGGTTACTCTTTATTGTCAGAAGGTTGTGCATCCACTTTAACAAAACAGAAAAGAGACACTATAAGCTCCCTCTTTGAAGCCTATGAAAAGATGAAAGCTGAACGTGGAGATTTCGATTTGGGAGATTTAGTAAATGATCTTCATCATCGACTTAAAACCAGGGGTTATGAAGGCGACCAAATGGATTTTATATACATTGATGAAGTGCAAGATCTTAGTATGAGGCAGATTTCTCTTTTCAAATATATTTGCCAAAATGTTGATGAAGGCTTTCATTTTGCTGGTAATACTGCACTGAACATTGCAAGGGGGGTTGATTTTAGGTTTAAAGATATACAATCTATGTTCTATAAAGAGTTTGTAAGGACCAGATCAATCGAAAAACAAGAGAAAGCTAATGTATTGGAGATTTTTCAACTAAAACAGAACTCCAGAACTCATATTGGTGTGCTCCAGTTAGCTCAGAGTGTCATTTACATTCTATACTCTTACTTTGCTCACTCGATTGATATTTTGGAGCCTGAGACTAGTTTTATTTCTGGACAAGCTCCTGTTTTACTCAAGTCTGGCAATGATAAAGATGGGATTGTGACAATCTTTGGCAACACAGGAACAAGTGAAAAAACTGTTAGCTTTGGTGCTGAACAGGTGATATTGGTTCGCAATGAATGTGAGAAGATTGAGATTTGTAAAGATGTTGGAAATCAGGCTCTTGTTCTCACTATAGCAGAGTGCAAGGGTCTTGAGTTCCAGGTAAGTTCCTTCTTAAATCTTAATCATATCTTTTGTGATTTTTAGTATATTCTGCTTTTTGATGTCTCACACCTTCACATGACCTGATTTTTAGGATGTCTTGCTATACAACTTTTTTGGATCATCCCCTTTGAAAGACCAGTGGAGTGTTATATATGGATACATGAAAGAACATGATTGGCTTGATGAGAAACTTCCTCAGTCTTTTCCGAGCTTCAAGGAATCGAAACATAATGTCTTGTGTGATGAATTGAAACAACTGTATGTTGCTATAACTCGGACAAGACAAAGATTATGGATATGTGAGAACAAAGAGGAGCTCTCCAAACCAATGTTTGACTACTGGAAAAAGAGGGGCCTTGTGCAAGTGAGGAAGCTGAATGATTCAGTAGCACAAGCAATGGGATGTTCAAGCAGCCCTCAGGAATGGCTGGAGTGTGGTAAAAAGGTGGATGTTTAGTGTTTATCCCTTGTTGAAATAATTTTATTCTGTTTTGCTGTTTTATTGTCTAAAGGGTGCTGATGACCTTTATATGTTTTCCAGCTTTTCTATGAGAACATATTTGATATGGCAACCATGTGCTTCGAAAGAGCTGGAGACTTGAAGTGGGAGACAATGGCCAAGGCTTTTGGTCGTAGAAAATCTGCTGAAGAAATTCGTGGAAAAAATCCTGAAAAAGCTTCATGTTATCTTAGAGAAGCTGCAGAAATGTTCGAGTCTATTAGGAAACTTGAGTTAGCAGCTGAATGTTATTGTGATTTGGGAGAGTATGAAAGAGCTGGTAACTTCTTTTCTCCATCATAAAGAAGTTTTTGTGTTTTTGTGCTGCTTCAGTTGTGATTTTGCTCAGATCAGATGAAGTTTTTGTAAATTTCTATCATCTAATTCTAATTTGTTGTACAGGAAAAATCTATTTGGATAAGTGTGGGGACATTAATGCAGCAGCAGAGTGTTTCATGCTAGCCGGATGTTATAGTGATGCAGCTGAAGCTTATGCCAAGGGACATCAGTTTTCTAACTGTTTGTCGGTTTGCAGAAAAGGGGAACTTTTTGATAAAAGCTTGAAGTATGTAGAATATTGGAATGAGCATGTTCATGTTCAAAGTAGAGAAATCAATAAAGATGAGCAAGATTTTCTGGAGGGTTGTGCTCTTTATTACTACGAGCCCAAAGACCATAAATCCATGATGAAATTTGTCAGAGCCTTTCGTTCTATGGAATCAAAACGTGTTTTCTTAAGGTGGTTAGGCTGCCTTGATGATCTTATGTTGTTGGAAGAAGAATCAGGACATTTCCTTGATGCTGCTGAGCTTGCAGGGTCATGTGGTGATGTTTTGAAAGAGGCTGATCTTTTGGAGAAGGCTGCTCATTTTAAGGAAGCAACATTGCTCATACTTTGGTATGTGTTCTCTAACTCATTATGGGGAAATGGAAACATGGGTTGGCCATTGAAGCATTTTTCTCAGAAGAATGAACTTTGTAAGAAAGCAAAATCACTTGCAAAAATGGATTCGGACAATTTGTATGATTTTGTTTGTAGTGAAATTAAAGTACTCACTACTCAACAGAGTAGCTTGTCAAAGCTGAAGAAGCATTTAGATGCTTCTCAACAACACAAGAGTCTGAGGGGAGAAATCTTATCGATCAGAAAGATTTTGGATGCTCATCTCCAGTTGGATATTGTAAAGTATAACTGGGAGGATGAGTTACCCTCTGATATTAGTAAGTATGTAGAGGACAAGATCTCTCAGAATCAAGTTTCTGTTAGAACTCTGGTTTTTTATTTTAATCTCTGGAAGAACAACATCATGGATATCTTCCAGAGTCTTGGAGGCCTTGAGAATGCAGAAGCAAATCAGCATGAGGGTCATGTTGATTTCTGTTTAAATTATTTTGGTGTGAGGAAACAATGTGTAAAAGGAAACATTGTTTACTTGTTAGTCAACAAGGATTTTGATTGGGTAAGAAATCTTGGTGATGACAAGGGGCTTCATAGGGATGGAAAGATTCTAACTTTGGATAGCAAGCAGTTGGGGCTTGCTATTCGGTCATATTGGCAGTCAGAATTACTTTCTGTGGGTGTAAAGGTGCTTGAAACTCTTCAATCGCTTTATAATTTGACTCTAAAGGGTTCTTCATTTCACCAAAGCATATCTCTTCTTCACATTTTTGAGGTATCCAAGTTTCTTTTAGATTGTCAGTATCTCAACCTCACAGTTGATGATATGAAGATTTTGCAAGTTTTTCTTGGAAGCTCTATGATATATTTTGACTATGTGTTTCCATTAGACTGGCGAAAATCAGTCTCTTGGAACTTGATTGCCTTAAGGGAGAGTGATCTTTCAATGAACTTGCTTGAGGAAGTTATTCTTCAGTACCTCAACATCGAAAGTGACCTCACTTATTGGACAATTGGGAAAGTGATGATGATATGTCTTGGTTCCAGAAAATCTTTTGCACTTCATGAGAAGATTATGAGGGGCCTTCAATGGAATCCCTTATGGAAGTCATTCGTTGAGAAATTTCAGGAAGGTGGCTTCAATGATGTTTATGTTGCTCCATCACTCCATAATGCTATGGTAGATACTTATAGAGCCTACTGGATGTTTCCTGGCCACATATCACCTCACAGTTTTGTATATCTCTTGGATCGTCTTCTATTCATGGCATCTTTCTCCTCAGGAGTCTTTTTCACAACAAAATCTTCTTTTGTTGAATGGTCGTGTACTCCAGATACAACTTTCTCAGATTCCAAGCAGATCTTTTCGAAGGATATCACAGACTTTCTTGTTGGAATAGTTCAGCATATTCTATACAAAAAAGAGGAAACCATATCATGGATTGAACGATCAAACATTGTTGTCTCTTATTACCATCCACTGATAGCATTGAAGTTGGTTATGATAGTTGCTTTAATTTCTTTGCAATTATCAGATTGTTCCCAAGTAGTATTTGATTTGCTGTTGGGGTGGAACAACATTGCTTATTTGCTTCCCAAGAAGTTTGTAGGTGATCTTCTAAGGAGAAGAAACGGTTGTATCTTGAGTTTAAATCCAGATACGGTTGCAGAAGCATTTGCAAGCATAGAAGATCCTCTTCTAATTGTGAGTTCGGAAAATGCAACTCCAAGAGTCCATGCTCCAGGTGCAATATTTGTGGACCTTAAGAGACCTAGAGAAGAGATCATGAGTGTATTGTTCCCAGGTGAATTTACAGTTAATTTCCAGAAAGACAAAGCTACAGTGATAACTGAGGCGAATCATGTTGAGGAAACCTGTGATGAACATAGCAATGGTGATCATTCACTGGTGGAATCAATTCTAGAAAAACAAAGCAGCAATGAGAACATGCAGGGTGCAGAAATCAATAAAGGGAGACAAAGAACAAGGGGGAGGAGGGGTAAAAATAACAAAGCATGCAATGACCAGAAGCAGCTTTCTTCTCCATCTGATAAGAGGTTAGACTTGCAATATTGCAAATTTTAAGCGGTTTATTATTGTTTAGATCAATCTAAACTGCATTTTTTATCGAACATATTGTTTTCTTGCATTCCGTTGTCTTATTTATATACATTCATATGGGTGTCTGGCTATCAGTTTCAGTCATCGTGAAGTGGAGCTTTCAGTTTCTAAGAGTCATGAAAAGGCGACTGTGCAAATCCATGAGTGGCTGCAAAGTAGCAGACCAATGGTAGATTGCAGCAACATGTGTGAGGTTCTTCACGAGGAGAATCATGTTGAGGAAACTTGTGATGAACATAGCATTGGTGATCATTCACTGTATGAACAGGAGGTGGAAAAACAAAACATTAACAATAACTCTCAGCATTTAGGAAGCAAGATAGGGATGGGAAATAACGAAAAGAAGAAGAGTAAAAACAACAGAAGTAGCAACACTCAAAATGCATTCTCTAATGTTCTATTGGATGGACAAACTTGTGCCAGAGAAGGTAGAACTCTACATGAAGCAAAAAACTCATGGGATGACCTTACAACTCTACATGAAGGAAACAACTCATGGGGTGACCTTACAACTCCACCCAAAGCAAACAACTCATGGGATGACCTTACAACTAAACATGTAGGAAACAACTCATGGGGTGACCTTACAACTCTACCCGAAGCAAGAAACTCATGGGATGATCTTACAAATCTACAAGAAGGAAACAACTCATGTGATGACATGAAGCAACCTTCTTACCCATCTAATATGAGGTAAGACTTGCAATATTGTAACATGCTAAGTTGTCTATTAATGTTTAAACCACTCTAAACTAAAATATATATCGAAAAAGTATTTCTTTGTGTTCTTTTGACTCATTTATATACAATGGATTTGTGGACTATCATATTCAGTCAACCCAAAGTGGAGCTTCCTGTTTCTACTAGTGGCAAAAGGAGAAATGTCCAAGCAACTGTGGAGAGGTGGAGAAATGAGAACACACAAGATGCAGAAATCAAAAAAGGGAAGGGAAAGAATAAAGGAAAGTCACCGGTCAAATTGGTGCTTGAACAACAAACTAGCAATAAGAACACTAAGGATGTGAAAATCAAGATAGGGAAGGGAAAGAACATTGATAAGGGGAGTAAAAAAAACAAAGGTAGTAATAGTGTAAATTCATTTACTAGTGATGCACACATCAATGATGATCATCCACAGGCGAAAACTGTGGTAGCAAAACAAAGCAGCAATGAAAACACTCCAGAAGTGAAAATCCGGAAATGGAATGGTGAGAATTCAAAGAACAAAGGTATCAGCAGTGTAAATTCATTTACTAGTGATGCACACATCAATGATTATCATCCACAGGCGAAAATTGTGGTAGAAAAACAAAGAAGCAATGAAAACACTCCAGATGCAAAAATCCAGAAATGGAAGGGTAAGAATCCAAAGAACAAATGTAGCAACAGTCTAAATACATTTACTCCTGTTCATATGGATGAACAACACTGTGTTAGAGAAGCTACAATCCTACATAGAGCAAACATGGCGTGCAATGACCTGAACCAGTCTTCTGCATCCAATACAAGGTTAGACTTCCAACATTGTAGATTTTTGAGTGGTTTATTATTTTGGATTCAAAATTGTGTTTCCTTGTATACGTTTGTCTGATTTATATACATACATTTCAGTCGACCAGAAATGGATCTTTTAGTTTCTAAAGGTGATGAAACGACTGTTGAAACATTTGTGGAGAAGCCAATGGTAGATGGTTTCTTTAATTATGTGGGTTCAGAGAGCAGCAACATAACTGAGGTTCTTCAGGAGGAGAATAATGTGGAGGATACTGATCATGATGAAGTCAACATTGGTGATCATTCACCTCTGGAATTGTTGTTAGAAAAACAAAGCAGCAATGACAACACTCTTGATGAGGAAAACAGAAAAGGGAAAGGAGAATACGTTGCTGAAGAAGATACAACTCCGTTCACATCAAATAGCACATGTAGTGACCTGAAACCACCAACAGATGCTCTTGATACGGGGTTAGTGATAACTCTTATTTATCAATGTTATTTACTAATAATCATAGAAAAATGCTGGGTTAAAAAGTGTTTTTGGTTTATATTTTTACTGGTTTTGTTGACCTTTTGTTGTTTAAAATGGAAATTTTATATACTTTGTTGTTATCTATGTTTGCAGGATAAAAACATCTGATGAGGTGAAACCTGCTAGCATTTTTGATATGGCGGCGGCATACTTGGGAATTCGCAGCTGGAGGAAAACTTGATTAAATGGACATGGTGCTTCTGAAGGTCTTTCACACAAGCCTTCATGTAAATAAGTAAAAAAAAGAGAGAGATTTCATTTAGTATCATGGTATTCTCCTCTCTAGGAATTAAAGGGAGGATTTTATTACACTGAATTGGTAACTTTAAGGTTTAATTGGTCGGGCTCGAGTATGTGTGGTAGATCGTTCCATGTTTCTTTTTATAAGAACACATTTGGTATACTGCTTTAAGGTTCATGAGCATTGCTTCCTTATGATACTTATAAGTAGAGGTGCACACAAAAACCGGATCCTCGAAATGGAACTGATCCGAAAACCGGTTTCGGTCAAAACCGGTTTTGACCAAACCGGACCGGATTCAAACCGGTTTGACTTTTCGGACTCGAAATCGGATTGACCCCAGGATCGCAAACCGGATTCTACAAAAACCGGTTCTTAAACCGTCGAAAAATCTGGTAAAACCTAAAAAAATCGGGATCAAACCGGTTTCAAATCGGATTCGGATTAGATTTTGACCGGATTCGGATTGGATCCTAGGTTTGTGCATCTCTACTTATAAGGTTCCATTTTGGTCTTGGGATTGATGATAGTATACTATCAATCATAATTGTGTGACATGATAGGTTCAATGGCAATAACATTAGCCCGTTATGGTATTCATATACTTCAACAATCTCCCACTTGTGAAACTCATACCAATATAATAAAAAAGATACAACTAATCAATAACTTCTAACAAAAATCCACCATGACCTAGGTTAAATTAATATGTGCCTTTATGGAAATTCAACAACATCTTTGTAGTAACTATCACCTCTGTCCATTATGTTTCTATTTGTCTACTTGTTCTTAAATCATAAGGCATGGATTGAATGAATCATGACTACACATTTTGAGTTTCAATCAATTCAGTTGATATAAAACACATCATTCTTCATGTTGAGATAATAAGCATCTCGATACTAAGGACAATACAATGTAGTCGGTTAAAATCATTTATTGACAATAATCTATGATTTAATTTGAATAGCGGTTGATACCTAACATTTACACGTAGCAAATGCCTATGGAATTGGAGAACCGTTTAAATATCCATTTAATGGATATTAACCAATCATTTGCAATAGTTTGTAACCCTTTTTTACTTCCTACAACAAAAAATAATCACATACTATTTGCAAAAAAAAAAAAAAAAAAAAAAAAAAAAAAAAAAAAGCTACTTTATTCCTGGATACTTAAACATAAAAAGAAGAATACTAACAAATGAACTTTTCATGTACATTTTTCACTTAAAAGTCAAAACTATCGGGGATTGATAAGGGAAATATCCAATAAAGTCTTATTATTTTGTTATGAAAAAGTCCTAAACTAATAAATGTTAACAAAAAAGCATGGAATATTGGATAAATCATCGAATTGATCCATTTTACCAGGTTACCACTCTTGCAATCTATAACAAATCGATGTGGCTTTATTTTGCTTACATGGAAGCTGACTCGGCCATACCTCACTCTCTCACATTATTTAAGAATATACAAACCCTAAATTGATCAAATTGCAAGCCTTGAAGATGGTCTCCTCCTTAGTGTCCAACAGTAGTGCTTATAAGTCAACCAGGAAAGTACGAAGAAGGTGAGATTGTGTTGGACCAATTGGCAGATGGACTTCATGGAAATAACCATGGAAGGAGATTTATTGGTTGCCCCAATTACAAGGTCAATGTCTTCGTATCTTTGAAATTAAACCCCATATTAGTTACAAGTGAGGTTTTTATCTTTAAATCTTTAAAATTGAACACCATAGTAGTTACACTGTACAAAATGTCGTCCAAGATAAGGAGAAGGATTGCAAGTTCTTTGACTGGATAGATCCTCCATTACCAAACAACTGGTACATAAATAGACGATCTGTGATTTTCACAACCAAGGAATTCATGGAGTGGATGATGAAGAGTTTGAAGACTTTATGGATGAAGCTATGGAGGAAGTAGTGCAACAGATTCCTATGTAAGTGAAAGGTGGAATTGCTGTTAGGGGTTGGAAGATTTGGTATTTGGTTGGTTTGATTGCAATTTTTTTGGGTTATGGTTATGTAATTTTAGGATATTTAATTATGTTTCCATGTAATGTTAGGATTCACTGTTTCTTTTGCAATGTAATGGTATGAATTATAGAAATTTTAATCTTCTAATGTAATGGTATCAGACGTATGAAATGCATATTGTAAATTCATGTGTTGACATTATAAACCATATCAAAGTATATATTCCAAAGCATACTGCATTCACAATATCAAACACTATTCACAATACAAACTAACATTCCAAATAATTATAGGAAACGACATGCAATATACAAAACTAATAAATTAGTATCAAAACATAAAAAAATCCATTCAACCACACAAACCACCATTGTTTATAAAGGTAGTATGCCATAATGTTTGACTTTCCAAAAAAAATTACAAAAGGGGCAAATTTTTACCTAAAGAGTTATATACTAAAGCCAACATAATGACTTAATTACAAAAAGGACTACCACATCACAATCATTTGCCCTATTCTATAGTAAGTGCATTGTCTGCATGCATCCCAAATTTGTTCACCACTTACTTCTTCAACTTCAACTCAATGATCCTCTCTGATGACTTCCTCCTCCTGATGTATTGGGTGTTCCTCCTCTTGGTTTCTTCTTCAATACCCTCGTTCTCCTCATCACTCTAGTCATGTTTAAACAAAGTATCTCCATTTCCCTATTCTTTAGTCACTAGTACCATTTGAGTCTCTTGAATTGGGTGTTGTGTAACACTTTCACTCTGAACGTTGGTTTCCCAAATTAAAAACAAATAATTTTAGGAAAAATGGCTTAGATTTGTAATGCTCTTAAAAATAAATAGGAAAAATGGCTTAGATTTGTAATGCTCTTAAAAATAAACACTCACCATAATTATAGGTCCAAACTCCTTTAGTTGAGATTCATTAATTCCAAAAGCAGCCATTAGTTCACCATCATTGTAGTTTGATGACCTCAAATTTAGAATGTAGTTTACTATTATATCCATGTCTGATATATCAATGCCTCCCCCTCATCCATCACATCAGTTTTTGGTTTAACCTAAAACTCAGGTGGCTTCTCAAATTTAAACTTCTGTTTACACTCATACTCAAACTGTGGGTCCTTTGAACTTTCCCCAATCTCACCTCTACCAACTACCGACCCTCTAAAACCACTTCTAATGCCTCTACCACCTCCCTTTCCTCATCTTCCTCCACCTCTTCTAAATGTGTAAGATTAGAATCCAACTTAGGCCTTCCTATTTTCTTCTTTGGTTTTGGTTCAGGATCACCTTAAAATTTTTGCAAGATAACTTATTGTGACCCTTTTGCTGGCAGTTTGTACATTGTGCAGTTCTTCCCTTAGATGATACTTGTGAAAACCTATCCTCGTGTTTGGAAACATACCTCTTTCTCTTGATGGCTGGCTTTCCTAGTATTCTTCTTTCAACAGGGGCTTCAGATAAGGAGATTCCACCCACATATTACTACCATTTACTGGTAGTATGTTATAACCATAAGTCAACATATATTTCTCATTATCAAACCAACTACTAATGTAACTCACAGGATCTTGTTGTGTATACATAATGGCAGCTTGGGCATGTACACAAGGTATCTTTGGTACTTCCTATAAATTACAAGTACAAGAATACCCCTGTAAGTCAACTCCATACGAGTGAAAACCATTCCTCACTTCAAAAGTAGTTACACCACTAGGATGAACATACCATGCCCTGTAATTAAGATTAAATTAGCATATGAAGGATAAATTTAGTGAATTAAATTGTAGGATTAGGTTCTTTAAACTTTCACCAAATTCTTCCATCTTCTTAATTGTTGTTGGACATATTTGAGTATCCTATTTATATCCTTCTTCCTTCAAGTTATAGAATCTTTCCATCATGTATAATATTATTTCCTCAAGCATGGTTTATAGGGGCTTCTTTATAGCATCCACAATAACTGCATTGAAACATTCAACCATTCCATTTTCTACTGCCTCACATGCCAATCGTCCACCATAGAAGGCCATGCACCATAAACTAGGATCCCTTGCCATTAGATATTCATAAGAATATGGACTAATATCCCTAATCTTTTGCATGTTCATCTTGAACTCCCTTTCAATAGTTGATTTTGCAGCAGATCAGAACATATTTTAAAACTCCACACCACTATACACCTTTCTGAAGTTGGCATATATATACCTGACACATTGTCTGTGTTGTGCAAGTGGTAGGACTTCCTTTGTAGCCTCAAGAAGCCCCTATTTATAACATAAACAATTACATCGGTAAAGTAAATATGAAGTATCTAGTAAAGAAAGAGTGAAGTATTTGTGAAGTACCTTGTGTTGATCAGAAATTATTGCCATACCCCTTCCACCATCCAATTCTAAATCATTTTCTATCAATTAATTCCAAGAACCATTTCCGTTTAGTTTGTTCTCTATGTCAACCATAATCCATGCAATGGAATACACTTGGTTATTTCCATCCCTCCCTATATCAGTTAATAATTCTCCCTTACACTGATACTTTTAAAAAGAATCATCTAGCCCAATAACCCTACGACAACAATAATCCATCCTTCTTTTATTTCTTTAAAACATATATACATTCTTTGGAAAGTGGTTGTGTTATCCTGGTTTTGACTCACATAAATTTTAACTGAACTATCTGGATTTATCTCAACAACTCACCTCCATAATCCCATACTTTTGCATAGTGTTCACTCAAGTTCCCTTCTATCAAAGACTGGGTCCTACACTCTGCTCTATAGCACTTTGACCATGACAAATTGTATTGGAATTCACTTTGGATAATTACCTGCATTTCCTTACACTTCAACTTAGGCTTCCTAATCAAATCTTTCAAAATTTGGTTTCGTAACCATGTTGGACCCATAAGGTTGGTATTTCTATAATTGCTAACACACCTATGTTTGTCAACAAGTTTCTTAATTTTAAATTACCTCTTTGTGCTTATCCAAGAAGTCCTAACATTAAAGGGACATTGAAATTTTTGTGGATCACTAGCATATACAACAACTAGCCTAACACTATCACATTTCTTGAACTTTATCTTATAGCCAATATAAATAGCATGGTTGGTTAAACATAACTTCAGTTGATGAGGTGATTCATACCTCTCTCCCAGAAGTGGTCTCATCTTGTTCCATTTAACCTTTGGATCGTGGGTGTTGTACTCAAACTCAGGCTTAGAATCTTGGTCTCTTTCACTTGATACTTCTTCATCAGACCCAAATACTTCATCAGACCCGCTTCCTTCTCGATTTAAGTCAAAATGATCTTCATTCTCCATCACATCATCTTCATTTAAGTCACCATCGTCGTCGATATGTTCAATTTCAAGGACTGTAAAGTCATCACCTTCTTCACTGGCTACATCGAGACACGGGCTGTTCAAGAACACGTATTGTATCTCTTTGTTTGCTTCTTTAAATCCTTGTCTATTTCAACATCAATAATGTTAAAATACCAGACGTCTTCCATTTGCAAAGCTTGGAAGACTCAAAATCGTGCCCTCGGTTATCGTATTCTTCATAGGTAAAAACCCTTGTTTCTACGGAGGGGATATTGGGTTAACTGTGTGACTTACCATTAAAGGGACGGGT